TACAGCGCGAAAGACCCTGGTTCGAATTCCAGACTAGATCTGGGTGTTCTTGAACTCAGGTCATTTTATAAAGTCTTCAAGACCCTCAGAAAGATCTTAGGCATTTCGGGGCGTGACAAGGTTACAAATGATGTAGAAGTGTTGGCACGGGCAAACCTCCAGAGCATAACAACTATCCTGTGTTTAAAAAGATTGAGATGGCTGGGCCGTGTCAAGAGAATGGACGACAACCGGATTCCGAAGCAACTTCTCTATGGTGAACTTGCTCAGGGAAAGAGACCAAAAGGAAGACCAAAATTGAGTTACAAAGACACCTGCAGCAACAGCTTATCTAAGCTTGGAGTAGATGTTAGCATCTGGGAACAAATCGCTGAGGACAGGAAAACATGGAAGAAAATGATAAAGGAAAGACCTATAATGCTAGAGAGCAGCCTTAGAAACAACCAGGCTCAGAAGCGCCAACGACGAAAGGAAAACAGCGGAAATACAGAGCTTCGATCCACGTCACTGGCATGCAAACACTGCGACAGAATCTGCGCTTCAAACATAGGAAGAATTAGCCTTGAAGGAAGCTGCATGAAAACAACCATGAGACCATCTGAAGTTAAATTGACCCTCTGCATAGACGAAAAGAGCCGTACACAAGGCCCTCAATCCATTTGACTCGGTCCTGTCGGAGACGGGCGCTAGATTCGGTGACCCTGTCTCTTAAATAACCTAATTGTGTTGATAGCAGCGATCAATACAATTACTTTTTTCCGGTGTAATTGCTGTTGGTGTGAAGGAACGCTTGCTTTTGGGGTTGTTGTTTTGTTTTGTTTTTCTTTTTAAAGATATTAATGATTAATGTTCTCTTGACGGTATCTGCATGTTTAGTGTCTCGAGCTAGAACAGCCCTTGGAGCCTTATTTAGAAAAAAGAACTTTGTTAAAATTGGTACGCGGATGTTCAATATTCATAGGTCCTGCTTCAGTCATGGAGACCCCCTAACCTCCATAATTTGAGTGGCATGCAATTTTGAAAATACTGTCATTGTGCGGATCAGAGGCTATACTATAAAGTGCAGAAATAAATCGTCTCTTTTACTACGTAGATTATTATAACAATATATACGAACCGCATGTTTACACGAGATAATGGTTTGCATTATTAATGTTAATAAGTAGGGATGAACTGTTCGACTTCCGTGGCAAGTCTCAATAAATCGCTCCCAAGGACAATGGAAACTCTTGTCAGAATAATTAATGATAACAGGTTCTTCTGTAAGCGGAATACACCAGTTAGGAAGTTTGCAGGAACTGTTTGAGCAGTCCTCGTCGTTTTATGCAAGATAATTTTTTAAATGAAGGTAACTGAGCCTAAAAATGTGAAATTTTGCGATTCTGTTAATTTTAACCAAGTTTGGTAAAGGAAAATAGTCAGAAATTATGCAAAAAATGATCAAATTTTGTTAAATTATGCGGGCTGCATAAAACCACGCGGATAGTTTGAGGCAGAGGAAACGTCCAAATGCATTTTTTTTTAAACCCCAACCTAGCAGAATCAGGGATTAAAAAACATAGTTGATGATTTATGAGATCGAGTGCCGAAGAGCAGAAGAGACAAAGATGGGAAGTGAACCGTAACCTCGTTACTTAGACAATGGCAACCAAGACTGACAGATGTAGGCCAAGTTAAATTTGTCAGAAATTTGTCTCATGTTACTGGCATCTGCTGAAAAACGTCTTTGCCGCTGGAAGTTCAGAAGTTGTCCGAAACTTTCAACTTTCAGTTAGCTATAAACTCACGACTTTCTTACCAGTCACATTTTATTACCTTACTACGGCGGAGTTCGATACCTCATCTGAAGTCATAAGGGACACCGTGGGAGCAACACCAGTCCAACCACACATTGAAAAACAAAAGGTCAAGTCTTAGTGGTTCGGACACCTCACGCAGATGCCCTCAAACCATCCAGCTCTGAGAGCA